ATCCTACTTCCGTAGTGATACTGCCTCGGAAACCCAAGGAGGGGTCGCTATGAGTCGGGTTTGACTCGACGGCACATAACAACAACAACAATGAAAGAATTATTTATAAAAGTCCATCTGCCACCCCAGCCTACTCTAGGACACACATTCCCTTCTTTCCACTCCATACATTCTCTCTTTTCTCTCTTTCAAAGACATTCAGGACTGCAAGGCTAGACATCAGCCAAGGATTAAGTCTGTGCTCTATAGGATCAAGACTGAAGCAGAGCTTTTTTGTATCTGAGATAACATGTGGCTCCAAGGCTGGAGTGTAAGCTTAGGAAAAAATACATTAAAAAAACTGTTAACATCTAAGAACCACACAGAATCTGAATACAGAACTAAAATGGATGGATTGAAAGGGAGGAATCCACCTTTTACCAGAGGACAAAAAGCAAGACCTAAAAAAAATGGACTGACATACCATGTTCTGCATGGAAAAACTCGGTATTCCATCCTATGTCATTTCTCAAATGAATGCAAAAATGTAATACAATTCCAAGAAGAAAGGGTAAGAATGACACAAGTGACTGATACTAGCAGACACCTAGACAAACAAGCCCAAGAGGGAAGTCAGGTGATCATTCTGCTTGATTATTCTTGCAATGTCTCACAAGGCACCTTGGTGTGAATACCATTATTTTTAAAGTCCTTAATTTTGTGTTTTTCTATGAACCGAGCATTGATCAAGTTATCCAGCACTGTTGCACAGTAATCAAACTCACAAAGCCTTGATATACTAACTACACACTTGTTGTTGTTGTTATGTGCCGTAGAGTCGGCCCGACTCTTAGTGACCCCTCCTTGGGTTTCCGAGGCAGTAACACTACGGAAGTAGGATTGCCCAACCTTCCTTCCGAGGAGTGGCTGGTGGGTTTGAACCGCCAGCCGTCTGGTTAGCAGGCAAGTGTCTTAGCCACTATGCTACCAGAGCTCCCTACTAAGAGTATAAATTTTTCCAATGTCTAAGTTACTGTTGTTGCCCACCAGGAGTATCTGTAAGCTAAATACATAAACAAAAGTTTGTTTATGATAATGAAATCAGAGCAACAGGAGGAGGCTAGTTTGGAGGATTATTTCTTCCAAATTGCATTAAGACCTGGTGACTAGTTTCTGCCGCAGAACAGAATACTCTTTGTTCATTTTTGTCAAATACAACCCCTGTCCCTCTGGAACTATGTTAAAAGTCAACAAATTCTTCTCTCTGCCTTCCCTTTCTCCAGATTCCAAGCAGATCACTCCCTATTTGTTAAAGTAAACTTTTTTTTCAAAGAATTTACAATTGATTAGATTTTCAGTTGATTAGATTTCAAGTGGCAAAGGAAGGCCAAACAAATTTTAAAGCACTTGTTTATATGGATTCCTAACTTAAAATATAGAGCATTTTCTAGCTGGGTAGGGAGACTTGTCAATTGTGGTTATTTTTATCAGTAACTTTAAATATGGATCCATAGATTACGAATTTACGGCTGTATGTTGAAGATCATTTAATCCCATCACAATTAGCATTAAAACAAAACAATAAACCTCAGTAAGGTTAAAAGATTTTAAATCACTTGGCTAGTTACTGACCAAGAAAGGATTGTTGTTGTTAGGTGCTGTCAGAGTTCGGCCTGACTCATAGCGACCCCTCCTTGGTTTCCGAGGCAGTATCACTATGGAAGTATATTGTCCAACCTTTCTTTCCAGGAGTGGTTGGTGGGTTTGAACCGCCAGCTTTCTGGTAGCAGTCAAGTGCCTTTGGCACTAAGCTACCAGAGCTCCTAAGAAAGGAGTAGATCCCCAGTTTTTCAACTCTAACTTACTTAGTTCATGATTATTTCACAACACAATTGGAAACATATGATCGCACTAAAGCAAAAAGTCACTCGCAAAACGGTAGCGTATCTGGCAACTCCGTTTATTAAATCTTTCATTTCACTCAATTGCTTAAATCCAATCCACTAGAACAGATGCACCAGCTCTTCCAACGGTAACTAGAAAAGTATTAGGAAATAGTGCCGACAGATTTCTAGATATCAGTGAATATTTAATGAACTGGCCTCGACAAATCCTGACTCAACTTGTTATGGGTAAAATTCAGTGTGTAAACGGCGGTTCGAGCCCTTCTCAAGGTGCCCGTAATACCTTCATGTCGTTATTACAAGGATTTTCAGTACAGGCCCTCTCAGGTGGGCCTCGCAGTCACTGAAAGTTGTCCCTGGCCTTTGGGAACAGGCAAGGAGCTGTCAATGGGCCAAGAGGTCTTCCTTGTAACAAAGTACAGGAAAGAAAAGTCTGAGGTTTTCGTTTTATGTCACGAACTGGAATGGAACGAATTCCGAAAAGGAGAACAAGAGGCCTGTGTGGGGGAAGGGAGAAGAGGCTCGAGAAGAAAGGGAAAGGCCTTTCTCTCTGGTAACGAGCAGTCACGAGGCGTTCTCCCGACGTGGGCGATTAGTACTGGCTGAGCCCGAGCTGACGTCCCCGCGGCCGCCCCGGCGCGAACGGCGGCAAGTGCGGCGTCGCTCCGTAAAGAGAAGCGGCGCGCGCGCTCTCGCGGCCCGCCTCGCCCACGCCTTCCGCCCGCCAATCAGTTCATCCAGTCCCTCTTCGCTCCCGCTTGGCCCCACCCTTTTCCCTGACAGCCCCTCCCCCACGACGTCGGCGGCGCGCGGAAAGTGCGTCACGTGATGACTGGCCCCGCCTCTTCCTCTCGGTCTCATATTGAACCCGAGTTGGAAGAGGCGAGTCCGGTCTCAAAATGGAGGTAAAACCGCCGCCCGGTCGCCCCCAGCCCGACTCCGGCCGTCGCCGCCGCCGCCGGGGGGAGGAGGTATTAGGAGGAGAGCGGGGGGTTGTTGGGTAGTGGCCGGCGAGGGGGGCCGGGTTCGGTGGGAGCGGGGAGGCCGGGTGGATGGGTTCGGCCGTCCCGCGCTCTGCGCTGAGACTGGCGGTGGGAGGGGGAGGGGAGCGGGCCTCGAAGGCCTTCTCGGGGTCCCTCACCTTCCTCGCTTTTTGTTTTGGCCTTACAGGCGGGCCTTCGGAGGCATGGTGTGGCTGAGGGGGTCTCGGAAGGGGAGCTGGCCCGCCGGCCGCGCGGCCTCGCATCGAGGCGGAGGGCGGCATGGCGGGCCTCGGCGGGAGCGGTTGGGAGGAGGAGGTGGGGGAGGGGAAGGGACGAGCAGGCACATCCGGGCGAGCGAGCAGGCGGGCGGCGGCCACATTGACATTGATCCGCTGCCGCGTTACGAAATGGCGCATTGGCCCGCAATGGCCGCCGCCTCGCTACACTGCTGGCAACGAGAGCGCGGGATTGGAGGGAAGAAGGAGTAGGCGGCCCGGCAGAAAATACCGCAGATGGCCTCAAAGCTTGAAGCGTATTGCTTTCGCTGAAGTTTCCTGGCGCGTTTCTAGGCCTTATGGATCTCTCATCGGCGTGGAGAATTCATTAATTCTCTAATCTCTTTATTTTCTTTGCAGCACCCAGTTGAAAATAAGGTTTTAAGCTGGCTGCCTTAAAATACTTCCTGATGCGGCCATATTCGTTAAAGTTCTTAGAATTGCTCTTATCTTTGCAAATTGCCATAGGGGTTAACTACTTAAGTGTCGATGTAAAGTAGGAACTTGAAAAACATGTGATTTCCATGTTTTCTCGTTCATGATTCGGCTCTGGTTGTAGTTTCTTGGATTTTTATTTTAGAAAACTACAACCACAGTTGAAATTTTAATGTGTTTCTGGTAATTTATGTGAAATTTATTTTTTTGTTAAAAAGGAAATGTATTTTAAAAACATGTATTGTCAGTACATTTAATGTACTTGAGAAGATGAGATTAATGGATTAATGGTGGTAGCTATTAATCATATAACATTTTTTCTAGCATATGACACTTGCTTCGATTAAATAAATGCCTTAACATCTTTACTTCTGGAAGATACAGTAGGAAGACATTAAAATGTGAAAGTGAGCCCATTTATTTAAAGACTTTGGAGGAGGGAGATCAAAATGCATGCATTAAAATGGCAGCTCATGTGATTTATCAAAGTGCCTTTTACTAAATTGTGAAACAATTCAGGCCACATTTTTCTTAAAAGAAATCTTAAGTTGTTTTATTGTGCTCCACTCTCTAGGCCAAGTAATAAATGCATTTATTTATTACTTAATGTAAGTCCTATGTAAACCCAACTTGCCAATATGTTGTGATCCTGTTTAAAAAAAAAAAAAAAGTGCTGTGCCTGAAATTGTTATATGATAAAAGATAGCTTCTGCGGAAAATAACATTTTGGAAGTTATTGAATAAGGTGGGCATTTTTTTCTTTCCAGTTTTGGGTTAAAGTGCCGATTTGGCCCGTTAGTGAGTAATGCCTATTTTAATACCATTATTTGTTGTGTGAAACCAGTAAATTGCTCTGAATTTGCCACGCAGAACTTTTATTTGTATTTTTAGATTTGTGGTTAAAATTACATGCTTTTTGTAGACTGAAGAGGGTATGAAGAGAAATGGCATGGCTAGAACACTTGGTTTTATAGAAAGTGATGTTCTTACAACTTTTAAAACATATCCTAAGATGTTTGTGGCAGAAAAAGGAATTAGGAGTTTGTTGATTCTTGATATCCTTTTGGATTTCAATTTAGTTGAAGTGATGTTGACATGAAGGTTTGGTTATAGATTTCTTGGTACCATTTAGTTGCTTTAATCAGTTGTTATCTATATTCGTACTCCAATTTTTAACTCGACAGATGTTAATAATGTTACAGGAATTTGTTGAATTTATTTTTGGCTTGTGTACCTGAGCATTTAATTGATAAGATAAATAATGGGGCCTATTAAAACATTGGCTCTTTTCCTCAGGGCCATGATCCAAAGGAACCAGAGCAGTTGAGAAAACTGTTTATTGGTGGTCTGAGCTTTGAAACTACAGATGATAGTTTAAGAGAACATTTTGAGAAATGGGGCACACTCACAGATTGTGTGGTAAGTTACTAAAAGAAAGGCTTATGAGGGGTAGAGTGTCCTGTGGTGTATTTCAGTGCTTTCAAATTTTTATTTTGTAGGTGATGAGAGACCCCCAAACAAAACGTTCCAGGGGTTTTGGTTTTGTGACTTACTCTTGTGTTGAAGAAGTGGATGCAGCCATGTGTGCTCGACCACACAAGGTTGATGGGCGTGTAGTGGAACCAAAGAGAGCTGTTTCTAGAGAGGTATTTTAATAATATGCTATGCAGTGTGTGAAATTGTTATGAAAAGTTGGTTTTTGACTTACGTATTTTTTATTTGTTAGGATTCTGTAAAACCTGGTGCCCATCTAACAGTGAAGAAAATTTTTGTTGGTGGTATTAAAGAAGACACAGAAGAATATAATTTGAGAGACTACTTTGAAAAATATGGCAAGATTGAAACCATAGAAGTTATGGAAGACAGGCAGAGTGGAAAAAAGAGAGGATTTGCTTTTGTAACTTTCGATGATCATGATACAGTTGATAAAATTGTTGGTAAGTAGCAATTTACTGGTTTTTTTTCTAAATTGGAATGAGAAATAGTGTCTGTTCTGTGTTGAATTTGTTAAATTATAATTTCATAACTATGTAGAGTGCATAGTTAAGTTTTACATATGTGTAACTATCATCCAGATGGAGACACGTTATTAACATCCCAGAACATTCTGTTGTAGGCAGTCATTCCTTGATAATATTTTAGTTGTGCAGTGATAAATGATACCAGTGTGTGTGTGTGTGTGTGTGTGTGTGTGTTTTGGAAACACCCTAAAAATAACTTGTTTATTGAAAAATTTTTCAGTTCAGAAATACCACACTATTAATGGGCATAATTGTGAGGTGAAAAAGGCCCTTTCTAAACAAGAGATGCAGTCTGCTGGATCACAGAGAGGTGAGTAGGACAACCCACACATGTAAAGTAGATGGGTGTGATGTTGGTGATGTTCTTAAAATTGTTTTCCTTGTCTGTTACAAGGTCGTGGAGGTGGATCTGGCAACTTCATGGGTCGTGGAGGAAACTTTGGAGGTGGTGGAGGGAACTTTGGCCGTGGTGGAAACTTCGGTGGAAGAGGTAGGATGGTTATCTGATAAACCTTAAGTATATGCCTGTCTAAAATTTATCAATAAATTAATACATAATTTTAACATTTTGCCTTTTCTCAGGAGGCTATGGTGGTGGAGGTGGTGGCAGCAGAGGTAGTTATGGAGGAGGTGATGGTGGATATAATGGATTTGGAGGTGATGGTAAGTTTTTTATTGATACTTGATATTATGATTTTATTTCTATAAATTACTGGAAAATGTAGAACTTCGTAGATTTTACAGTAAGTGTGCCTTTAAACTGGTACCATTGAAGAGGGGAGACTATCCCCTCTGGAGATAGACATTAACTAGTCCTCTGGTAGCATAGTGGCTAAAACACTTGCCTGCTAACCAGACGGCTGGCGGTTCAAACCCACCAGCCACTCCTTGGAAGGAAGGTTGGGCAATCCTACTTCCGTAGTGATAACTGCCTCGGAAACCCAAGGAGGGGTCGCTATGAGTCGGGGCCGACTCGACGGCACATAACAACAACAACAACAACTGGCTAAATAGAATTCCCTGGGTCGTGCAGAAGGAGCCCTGGTAGTGCAGTGGTTAAGCATTCAGCTATTAACCAAAGGTCCAGTGGGTCATATCCTTAGTTGCTCTATAGGAGAAAGACTCCAACCTGCTACTGTAAAGATTTACAGCCTTGGAAATGCTGTAGAATGGTTCGTTTGGGTGGTACAAGTAGATTAACTGGCTCAGTTACTGAAATTTTGGTGGTTTGCTTTCATTAAGAGGCACCTTGGATTAGAAAGGCCTGGTGATCTGGAAAATCAGCCATTGAAAACCCTGTGGAGCAGTTATACTCTTGACACATTTGAGATCGCCATGAGTTAGAATCCTGACTGCAACTAATAATTAACAACTAAATATGATTTAGGGTATCAACATTTCTTAGTGCAAAAATGAAAGTGATAGATTTTAATTTTAATGTCAATTGTCATTTAAATACATTCTTATTAGTCCAGATCCTTGGTGATGTGTTAACTAGGTGTTACCAGGCTGTACTTATAATGCTTTTTTGTGATCTCACATTTTTAGGTGGCAATTACGGCGGTGGTCCTGGTTATAGTAGTAGAGGGGGCTATGGTGGTGGTGGACCAGGATATGGAAACCAAGGTGGTGGATATGGTGGTGGTGGTGGATATGATGGTTACAATGAAGGAGGAAATTTTGGTGGTAAGCTGTTCCTAAGTTATATTTAAATGTTAGGTACTGACAATTGTTCATAGTTCAATTAACTATTTGAGGAAAAGTGTTAAAAGTTAGTATTTGGTTGAGTTTTATGTACTATAAAGTACTCAAATTGGGTAATTTAATTGAGTTTGCTTGCTTTATCATTGGTAAAGCATTCAACTCTTATTTTTGTGTAGTGGGCATATAGTATTTCATAATATTTTTAATCATTAACGTTACTCATTTCCAGGATTTTTAGTCATTTTTAAGCTGGACAAGAAGTAGTGTTAAAATAGTTTTTGCATGTTCAGACTTAATAATATGTGCCATCTGGGGTCTGGTTAACATAGGTACAGAAGTATTTTGGATTTTAATGCTTCATATTGGAGAATATAAGCAAATATGAGTCATTACATAGTACTATGGGTAAGGAGCCCTGGTGGCAAAGGGGCTAAGCGTGCAGCTGGCAATTCAAATCTACCAGGCTGCTCCCCAGAGAAAAGATTGGCAGTCTGCTGCCAAAAGGTTACAGCCTTAAAAACCCTATGGGGAAGTTGTGCTCTGTCTTATAGGGTAACTTGAGTAGGAATCAACTAGGCAATAATCAAGTTGGGATTATAGATAGGAAGTTTTGCTTGTGAATACGTTAACTTTTGTTGGATTGTATTAAAAAGCATTAATGGTCTGTAATAAATTTGGATTATTGCCTCTGTCATTGATTTTTAAATGTCAGAATTACAGTGAATCAGTGATAGATTTGATGTTGTGAAGGAGAGAAAATGTGCTAGTGTGTAGTATCTAAGCAAGGTATTTATGTTCCTCTAATTTAATCCTGACATCTGACATTAATCTAAAAATACACTATTCTTGTCACCTTTTTTTGTTGTTGTTTATTCTGATTAACCCTTAGACCTGCTAGTGTATCGTAGGTGTGTAGTGGAGGAAATTAGGTAGCTCTGAAATTTGAAAGACCACCATCTAAGTGGTCTATCAGCATATGTTATCAGAATTGTTAAAGGTGTTCGTGTTTATTAAAGGGAAAGTAATTATTGTGTAGGTCAGCCACAAATAAAATGGTTGTAATTTCAGGTAACTATGGTGGTGGGAACTACAATGATTTTGGAAATTATAGTGGACAACAGCAATCAAATTATGGACCCATGAAGGGGGGCAGTTTTGGTGGAAGAAGCTCGGGCAGTCCTTATGGTGGTAAGTGGTTTTTTTCCCAGCAAAAATTTTCACAGCTTTTTAATTTAAAAGTTTAATGGGTACTTAAAAACTCATGTGTTATTTCCAGGTGGTTATGGATCTGGTGGTGGAAGTGGTGGATATGGTAGCAGAAGGTTCTAAAAATTCAGCAGAAAAGGGTAAGTATCTTTCAATATTTATCATGATGATAAAAAAATATATGTGGAACTGTTCACTGAGTGTAATAATTTTTTTATCCTGTATTATTCAACAGGCTACAGTTCTTAGCAGGAGAGAGAGCGAGGAGTTGTCAGGAAAGCTGCAGGTTACTTTGAGACAGTCGTCCCAAATGCATTAGAGGAACTGTAAAAATCTGCCACAGAAGGAACGATGATCCATAGTCAGAAAAGTTACTGCAGCTTAAACAGGAAACCCTTCTTGTTCAGGACTGTCATAGCCACAGTTTGCAAAAAGTGCAGCTATTGATATAATGCAATGTAGTGTCAATTAGATGTACATTCCTGAGGTCTTTTATCTGTTGTAGCTTTGTCTTTTTCTTTTTCTTTTCATTACATCAGGTATATTGCCCTGTAAATTGTGGTAGTGGTACCAGGAATAAAAAATTAAGGAATTTTTAACTTTTCAATATTTGTGTAGTTCAGTTTTTCTACATTTTAGTACAGAAACTTTAACAAAATGCAGTTTTGAAGGTGTTTCCTTGTGAGTTAACAAGTAAAGAAGATCATTGTTAATTACTATTTTGTATGAATTTTGCTAAAGTTAACTGTAAAGAAACACCTGCTGACTTGCAGATTAAGGGGAATCTATTCTCCCCATTTCCAAACCATGATATGAATGGGCACTGACATGTGGAGAGAATAGATGTTTGTATGTTTGCGATGTGTTCTAGATAACAACTAGGATTGGGTATTTAAATTAGTATATTTGTGAATTTAATAGCATTAAGATATACCTTCAATGAAAAATCTCAAATTCCTATTTGGTTTTTGTGCATTTTCTTTAAAAATGTAATCAGAGATGATTTTAGTGTGTTAGCTTTGCTAAGAGTCCTAGCTGTGTTAGAAAATAATACATTTGTTTTGGTCACATTTAAACTGCTGCCATAATTTCATTTGGGTGTAAGAGTGTCTGCTGCCCTCTGCTTAAATTCTGGAATGGGGTAGTGGATTTTTTACCCTTCCTTCCTACTTTAAAAACCATTCTTAAACTTCAAAATACCACTAAGCGTGCTGTACTCAAGCAAATTAGTGGCTGCCTTTTTTAAAAAATTCTTTTCAAAGCACAAGAGGCTTTTAAATTTTTAGTTCTTTTCCTTGGTTTAATATTTTTAAAAAATTTATACAAGCTCTCAGAGCAAGAGAATAAAAACCATGCATTGTTGAACCTTTACTGGCTGGTATGCTTTCCTGTTTGCACTCTGCATTTCACTGGATGAAAATCAAGAATAGTCTAGATCTAATCATCCAAAATAATTTACTGCAGCAGAAATGTAGCACAGTTGCTTAGTACAAGCTTCGCACTTCCTTGGAGACCTGAATTCAAATGTGGATAATCTCAGTTCTTCCACATAGATCCAAAAAAAAACCACAATTATTCCACGTGTTATGTTTCAACTTAAATCATGTTGGTGTGAGTTACCAGTTTGGAAGACCCTGGTTTGAGAGGAGTTTTAGATAACAAGGTCATATATATATAAACCAATGTCTGTTTTGCGCCAGCTAGTGCTTAACTATTTCTTTTCAGCCCAAAGTATGTGCCCTGCTGTTGTTTTTTTCATTGACAGTTAAACATTTGAGTTTAGAGATTTCCTTTGTTTTAAGAAGTACTAAGCAAAACAAGCAATAAAAAGGGGAATGGGGCGTGCTAGCGTTTGAATATGCTCTATCTCGTTGCTCTAATTCTGTGCCTCTGTGCATTATTAATATTTGGATGCATGCAATGCCAGCATGGAAATCGGTCTTCAGATAATTACAGTTTTCCAGAAAACACTCACAAACCAATAAATGTAACAGACAACATTCCATTTGTTAATGGGCATATGTGAATAAGCAGTGTAGAAAATAGGCTAATAATAGAAAATGGCTAAGTCCTTAACAACTTCAAGTGTGTTTTTATAATTGGACACTGTCAATGTTCATTAACATTAACCTGGGTACCTGGTCAAATAATGCTTGGGAAGCATTTTATTAAAATTGAGCTAAATTGTCTTAAGTTCTTTTATTCATACAATAAAGGTTGAAGGAATGGGGGAAAGAGGTGAATATTTCCTGTTTTTATGTTTGTGAAATTGTTTGACACAACCTTGACAGTATCCTTTCATGGCATATGAGGTTAATTGTATTATTAATGTTAACAAATTTTCTGTTCTGGAAGTAGTTCTAATAGTGAACATTTTCAGTAAGTTGGTGTTTGCAACCTATAAGCAGGTGAATTCTGTGTATGTGACCTGTTTATAAGTTGTATTTAGCTTAGTTCTTGTGAAGAGTGGAAAAGTAAGCCATGAGGAGAGCGATTTAACCAGCTTTAAAGGACATAAGATGTGCTTTTTAAGCACAGTGTGGATCAAAGGAAACTCCCTAAGACAGGACTTCAGCAGCCTTTTGAGTATGGACAAGTCAGCATAAATAAAGAATGACAAGGCAGCAGCACGAGCTTCAACTACAGAGAAGTGAAGGCATAAGATACTATGGTGATAGTGAGCAACTTTCCAAAGGCTAGTTAATCTGCTTATTACAACTGAAATAACGAAGAAGGTCTAGCAGGAGCTCTTCGCCTTTTGGAGCATCAATGAGATAGTTGCTACAGTCACTAGGTCTAGCATTTAGACCTGCAAGGAAGGGCAATAAGCATTAGGTAAGGCTTGAATTTGAATTTTTTCACTAATTAAAGAGTAATTTTTTGTAAAGCAAGGTAAGAGTAATCTTTTTGATTTGCAGGTTGAATGAGAACCCTACTTGCCTAAATGAGGAATGTCTTTCCTACCATCTTTTATACGAAGGTTTCTGGCTGGGTAAGGTTTGTAGCTTACAGTAAAACCTGATGACACCATTTGTTTACATATAAATTTTATCTATATTACATATTTTAAAACTTAACTCATCATCCCTCTCTAGTAGATGCATTTCCAGTAGATGCATTAGCAAAATTCATCTGAAAATTCTTCTTTGAAACCATCTCCAACATTTAAACAGTTTTTAAATTTTCCTACAATTGCCATGACTGTTGATCTTGAGTCAGATATTCCCCTTACTCTTCATGTGTATAACTCACTATTAGTATCTTTAGGGTAAACTGTATTTTGGTAAGAAAAAAAGTGAAACCTCAAGTTCTGTGAAAATAAGTTTTAATATCAGTGACTTGTAACAATAGTAGTGAGCTGCCAATCCCCATTCTAGGAAAACATCTTAAAATTAAAACTGTCAGTTTATGTAAGTGGTCTTTGGTCAAGTAGCATCTAAATTCAGGGGGGGACTATTTGGACCAAATAGGGTGAATTTTTTTTTTTCCCCCCAAACGTGTTAATAGAAGTAATGACGCCTAATTAACAAATGTTCCATTTTAAAATAGTCTGCCAAAGGATAAAAGTATTACCATTCAAATCAATTGCTGGTATTAAGGGCTATTTTTGCTACCTAATAGGGAATATTAAAAAATTGAAACTTCAATGTAATTCACTTTTTAAAAACATTAACACATTGGGGGATCAGATGGTCAAAATATAAACTAGTTTCTAAATGGTGTAAGTCAAATTCCTACATAAACAGCATTAGTTTGCCACGATTTATTAGTTCTCAGAAAATGACTAGTTGGCTCTTTATCAAAATCAAGACTGAATTCCTTCACATCGCTGTAGCAAGACGTGTATTGGGTAAGACCTTTCAATGACAAATTCATGACATTTTAGTGAAGCAAATTTCCTCAAATAGAAATATTTTTCTTTTAAAAGTGGTGGTCTTTGCTGTCCATCTCTTTATGGAATAAAGTGATTTTTTATAAATGTAGTTCCATTGTCATTTCTGAAAATTCCATTATCTTAATTCCTTAAGTTAGCAACAGTAAACAATTGTTATAAAGGGGAAAATGGTCAAGTTAATGTTAAGCCAAGGTGCAGGTTACTGCTTCTAATACATTTCTTTCTAAAAAGCTCAATTTATGCTCATTCTGAAGGAGAGTATTTCTGTGGTAATAAACAGTTTGTTAAGGGACTAGAGTGAAATAGGCTTGGTTTTTAGAGTTCAAGTTAAACTAATTGCAATTTGAAACATTTCTCATGACAGTAATTTTGGAATTCTAGTAATTGTCACAATGTAGTGAATAAGCATGCTAATATGAAGGGGAAATTAAGGGTTGTTAGCCTTTGTGAATACCTAAATTCCTTTTAAGACTTTAATATGTTGGTTTTTTTTTTTTTAAAGACTTAAGAGGTGGTCTGTAATGGATTCAAATGTTTCATTTGTAGTACAAAGAAATGTTTACAGAAAGATAACTTTTTCATTAAAATATTTTTAGAAATGTGTGTGTTGTTTTGTCACTTTACAGTGTTCATGTGATTTAAAATGCTGTAGGTGAATATTAAATACATCACTAGTAAGTAATGAAATAATGGAATTTGGAGTGAGCCTTCACATAAGTTATTTAAGAATGTCAATTCAGTTTAATGGCAAACAAGTAGGTGCCGTGGAAAACAGGCATGGATCAATATGGATACTGTTGAACAGTTGGAAGTTTATAACCACAACATTTGTTGCTTAAAAGAACTTTGATTTGCAAGGAGAGAATATATGAAGTAATTTGGGTGACAGAGGAATAGTCTTTTGGGGAGAAAGGAGTTAGGATAAATGAGTAGATCAATGAACAGGGAGGAAGGGGATTCCACATGTTAGGTACATTAAGCAGTGTTCGTTTGGTTGGTGTTAAGTGGGCACAGTTCACAAAACGGTGCATGCAAAATGAATTTACTCGTACTAGAACTTAACAGGGAGCTCTGGTAGCACAGTGCCTAAGGCACTTGACGGCCAACCAAACCCACCAGCAATACCTTGGAACGGAGGTTGGGCAATCTACTTCCATAGTGATAATGCCTCAGAAACCCAAGGAGGGGTCACTTAGTCGCCACATAACGGAACAGGAATTTGTTGTTAAAAAAAAAAAAAGTGGATAATGTTGTACAAGGGTGTTGACAGCTTTAAGATTATTTTCAAAGGTATTAAAATGGTTATATCATGCTATATTCATGGATCTGCATAGTCAAAAGTTTACGTTCACAGATGAGGGGATTCTAACAGGTTAACTATATCTGGAGGTCAAAGTATAGGTAATTTTCATCTTTTGTTACTCAAAGTCAACATGTAAAACATGAAAGTGACTAGATTTTATGTACTGTGTACTCTTTATGCCCTTATTTAATGGGGAGTGGAAGAAGATGTGTTAGGTTTTAGTTTGATTCCTAATACATAAGAGTTTTGCTTGTAAGAAATGTAAGTAGAAATCTTAGCTTGGTACTGTGTGCTGTGGTCTTCTGGCAGTTGGGTGACAGTGGCAGATCCCTGAGATGTTGATTTTATATGCATAAGATGTAGAATCACTAAAACATGACATTGAAGAAGAAAGTTACCAGTTTAAGTCGATTTAGCAGTACCGGGCAATGGTGGTGGTGTACGTGAGGTTGCTCAGCCAAATGGAAACTTAAAAACTGATGGGTCTAAGTTGGAAGTTGTGAGGCATATGTGATTTTTAGATACTTTTTAAATGGTAATCATGATAGAAGCACTATGAATACCACTTGTTGATTTTATTTTAAATGTTAGTAAAAATAACATCAAAACTGTTCATACCAATTTCCTTTATAAAATGGAGATAGTGCCCACCATCAACTCAGAAGGTTAAATGGATAATAGGCTTAAAGAGCATAACGGTAGTGCCTGGCATAGTCTTAAAATAGTTCATTTGGTAGTAATAAATACTATAATAGTATACTGAAAGGAACCTAAAATTTTAATGGGTAACAGATACCAGTGTCTTTTTATCCCCACATAAGGGATTGAAGTTTCATGGTACTTAAATTTTTTTTCCCCAGTTGCCTTTTTTTTTTTAAACTGTGTGTTTGGTTCTGAGGTATAATGGCAGGGGTATTTGAGCACTGCCCCCACTCGCCTCAAAAGCATGAGTTTTGAGAAATCTAAAAATGGATTTTTATATGCACAATTAAAATTTCTGATAAAATGGTTCACAACACTTGAGCATAAAAGGTATAAGGCACATTTTAAAGTTGGAGAAATACACAAGTTCAAATAAGGTTTTAGTTGAATAGCTAAATTTGGTCTGAAGAAGATATATCAACCTTTCGATCTGGAACGTTTCAAATCTGGATCAAGAGGAAATACATTTTTAGATGGGATTTTTATTTTCTAAGTCTGTACTGCAGTAAGTTTAGTGAAAATAGTTTATTGTACGTACTGTAAGAAGATTCTAAGGACAGTTGTATGAACTGGGCAAAAATACAGTTTGAGTAATTAAATTATGCACACGGATGGCAGGTTTCCTGAGGGTTTTGATCTGCATAGCAGTGGTCATCCCCTGTAATAAGGTATCAGCCAATTCTAAGTGCTCCAGAAAGGGCTGCTGGTTAAGGAATTACCAGCAGTCTGATTTTGCCAAAGGGTACTTAGAGCTATGATTTTTATGTTCAGAAGTTGGTAAAGATGTCTCCTTCAGGAATTCATTCCATCACCCTTAGTAGAGGGAGAGAATTCTTCAAAGTTATGAACAATTTCAACATTTTGAGAAAAGTCCATAGCAAAATAACCAAGGATACAAAATCCTAATATTTAAGGACTTGGATCTTTGATGTTATTTCCAACCTTGGATTTCCTAATTTGGAGTCAAATTCTCTTACTAAATTAATTTGACTTTAGTTTTTATTTAAACCAAAGAACATCCTAGTAAAAGGCTAAAGAGAATCAGGAAAATACTTTGCATTTATGGAGTACTGCGTATGAGCTAGGCATAGTTACTTAATACTTGATTTTGCAGAAGCAAGCAGGCAAACTTAAGGACCTGTACTCAATACACTTACTAATAGATTGATGGGACTTCCCATGAGTAAAGGGTGATATGTATGCTGTTACAAAGAGGCTTAATCTGCCTGCAGGTTCGTCTCAATTTCTACACTTTAAAAGGGAAAACAAACCTATGAACAGTTGTTTAGATGAGCTGATAATCAGATTTTCAATACAATTTTGAGAAGCTGTTTTTGTAGGCTCTACGTTTTGAGCAGCTAGGTGGCTGCTAACCCAGAAGGCTGGAGGTTTGTGTGCACTCACTTAAATGGAAGAAAGGCTTGGTGATAAACTTAACAGCCATTGGCAAGGAGCTCTGGTAGCCTAGTGCCTAAAGGCACTTGACTGCTAACCAGGAGGCTGGCAGTTCAAACCCACCAGCCACTCCTTGGAAGGAAGATGGGGCAATCTACTTCCGTAGTGATCCTGCCTTGGAAGCCTAAGGAGGGGTCACTATGAGTCAGGTCCAACTCGATGGCACATAACAAAACCATTGGCAACACAATACAGTTCCCATGACATTTGGGGTTCCCTTGAGTCAATCAGTTGCAGCCACTGGTTTATATATTTATGTCCAAAGTAGGGCTTTGAACAGGTTTAGTCATGACTTAGGAAGTGAAATCAGACCCGAATTTTAAAATTTGTGTGATGTGAAATAATGGGGAATGGAAAAATTACAGATTGAGGCACTAGAAGAGGCATAGTGAACCCTTTCAGCAGCATGATCAGGGAGATCGGATTATCAGAAGGGTGAAGAGTGGCATGTTCAAAGTCCTTTCCCACTCTGCTGGACAAGATTGGGTTGCTATGCATTGGACATGCTTCCTTTTTAAGAGGAAGTTTGTAGCAGGGTGTTGACCTGTAACTTCCTGTTCCAGTTATTCCTCACATTTTACAAATTGGGGTCTGTTAGGGTTTCACGTCAGGTATGGCTAAACCAGAAAGATTTAAACCCTGGTCCCAGGGTAAATTTTTATCTTCCCAATTAGACCTTAATCCATAGTCTTCACCATCTCTGCAATTCTCTTCTTAAAAGTCAAATCCTTGACTCTCACTCCACATCCATTCTGTTAGGAAACCCTTTGGTTCTACTTTGGGATACATGCAGAATCCAGTGCCTTTTCACCATCTCTATTACCACCCAGGAACAAGTCACCATTTTGCATGTGAGTATGGCAAACCAAAAAAAAAACCAAAAAGCCTCCCAAATGGTCTTGCTGTTCGCATTTTTGCCCTCGTAGGACAAACCAGAGGGAACTTTTAAAAAAAAACATGGTATTTCCTCCACCTCCTCCAGTAGTCTCCCACTTGAAAGGGACCCTAGGAAACCCTATGGGGCACTTCTGCTCTGTCACATGGGGTCACACTGTATGTCAAAAATTGACTTGGAGGGCACCTGACAACAGTTAAGTCTTAGAAGGCTCTGTCGTCACACCCTGACCCCTTCGAGACACTACTTACCCTTGCCTCAACCTTGTTACTTTTGTTCTTTGTCAAACAGGCCTCAGAGCTTTTGCATTTGCTGTGTCTTGTCTGCAATGCTCTTAGCTAACAGAATGGCTTGGTCTCCACCTCAAATGTTGCCACCTCAATAAAGATTTCACTATTTACAACCCCAATTTAAATTGCAGTACTTCTCACTGGTCTTCCCAATCCTCTCTCTCGTAACATACCTTATAGTATGTTTGCTGTCTCCCTTCACTAGAATGTAACTTCCGGGAAAGCAAGCATTTGTTTTGTTCACTGTATGGTGCCTAGCATATGCAGCTATTGATGTGAATAATGTTTTCTTGTCAAAATACATTTTCTTGGTTAAGATGTGTCTGTTGTACGTCTGTATCACTGGTGCTGTAAGTTCAGTATAAAATGCTTTTTTTGTTTTCAAATAAAACTAATGAAAATGTAAAATGTCTAGATGTGTTAAATTATTTGATGTCTTAATGGAAAATAGTGTGAATAAACTCAGTCAAATGAACTGTGAAGAACTAATTGAACAGTCATACAGCCCTTTATTAGTGCCAGCTTTTTAAACTGTTTCTTTGCCAGAGTTAAACAATTCAATAGTTCAAAAAAAAAAAAACAAAACCATTTTTTGTTCATACAGTATTTATTTAAAAAAAGTATATAGTGGTTAGTTTTGCAACAATTTGCTTTCAGCCAGATGTCATATCATCATATAAACCTATGAATGTAACAAATGAGATAAGAACAGTATAAATAAGTTTTTCTAGTATTTACACTTACACAGAAACTAGCCCAAATGGTGTTCTAAGAAACTTTGCCATTAAAGTGAAACTACTGATTGAACATACTGATGATTCTTACCTTAATGCTTTTTAAAGTTTTATACTAGTTTTGGCTATAATCTTGCATAGAATTACTTATAAAGTATGATATTCTTGCATTTCACATCACAGTAGGAGCTTTTAGTATAACAGTACAAAATAAAAACACTAGCTAAGAAAAGGTCAAATCCCCCCAAATCTAGTTTTTCTTAACATCTGGCTTCTTACTTTTGGGAACAAGGAATACATTGCCATCTCTGGTTTGCTGCAGGGAGTATTCACTAGGAGAATACGGTTGTCCAGCTTCATCTCGTAGCATGCTGAAGACTTCAAGGTACAAGGTGCTGAGTTGTTTTTTCAGTAGATGGAGGCTTTTGTCATTTTCTCCTTTTTCTTTGAGCAATTTTTCTTTTTCATCTTTTAAATGATCCAAATCTTGTTCTAGTTCTACTATATTTTCCAGTTTTCTTTTTCTGCAATTCTGAGCAGCCACCTTATTCTTACCCCTCCTACGTATATCTCGAATTAATGCAACTTGAGCTTCATTGAATTGCTCCTTGGACATCATTTCGTTGAAGTCGTCAACAGGGAGGTTAATGATTTTTTCTACGGGGAATGGAATACGGAGAGCTTTTGCCTTTAGCTCATCTCTTGTGAGATGTGCTTCCAAGCGGTTTGAATGTTTGTCTTTTGTGAATGGGGTTTTTCGATGACCAGGACTTACAGGCAATTCTTTTTGGGGGGCATTTTCACACTGTGCATCATGCACTGAAGCACTGTGCCCTGGAGATGGTGACAGGGGCTGGACTATATCCCCAGAAGACTGTACTGGCTGTGTTTTAGGACCATTCTGTTGGACACTTTCAGGAGTACTATCTCTCTCTTCCATTTCAGAATCACTGAAGCCAAGCGGTGTATCTCCATAGATGGAAGACTCCACTGAGTGTTCTGGTGAAGCCCTGCTGGGACTTGTGTTCAATGAAATGCCAGAGTCAGAATCATTGAATTCTGCTGTGCTTTCAGGGTGGTTTTCATTGAAAGCTTTACAAAGTGATAGATCAGAAACATCAATGGGCCCATTTAGAAGTTCAGAAAGTGGTTGGCTTAAGGTAGCAGAGGAGGACATGCTGTTGTTGATGCTGGGCTCTGCTATGAAAGCAGAATAAAATTCATCACCAAAATCGGTGTTTATTGTATTTGAATTTAATGAGTTCACTGTCAACTGGCCAGGGTCATCTGTGGGTAGGATGCTGCCAAAGAAATCCTCAAAAGCATTGAGCAAATGTGGACTGCAATCACCTACTTCTTTTTCCAGTGAGGGGATCGATGGGTAGAAATGATAATTGTCAATTTCTGTCAGTTTTGTTTCTGGACTTGGAACAGTGCTAGTCTCAACTAGCTTGTCATTTTGAATATTAAGACACTGCATGGAAAAGAAATTTAGAGTATATAAACTATATAAAAGTTAAGTATTTTTAAACTATTTAATAGTAGCTAATAATCCATATTTGATCGCAAACATAGGTAAACTCTCTCTTCCCACCCCCATTCTTTCCAAACTGTTCTATAATTTTATGCCTAATCATATGTATTGTTTTCATAGTTCTGGATCAGACTTCAGGTTGATAACCTGATCTGTCCTCAACATATCCAGCCCATTTACCTAACAAAAGTTCACATTAAGTGAGCATGGGCAGCTCTCATGACTATTTTAAAAACACCCTCCAAACATTACTATAAATAGGAACCATATAAATAATAAATCATATGAATGACTAATTTAAAGGCACTGAATATAAAACAGATTTTAGATACCTGTAATTCTGGAATGGATAATAGCTCCTCCCAAACTTGATCAACGTCTTGCATATTGTCTAAATGGGCAACAGTTGTTTGAAGAACAGGAGTTTCAGGTGACTGATCAGGAGCAATGAAGATGGGGGGCTCAATATGGCTGGGAATATCAGGAACAAGCGATTGAAATGTAGCCGAGGAAACCTAAAATTGACAAATAAGATACTTGAGTGCTACCAAGGATGAAAGAGTGAGCTTCAAAGCATCATCACAATACCTTAAACTAAAATCAGCCTCAATATCCTATTTCTCTACTTATTAACTACTTACAACCCCTATTTCTATAGAATGAAACAATTTCTTTTTATCCAGTTGACTCTAAATTTACTCCTAACTTTACTTACCTAATTACCTTTTTTATTCTATGCATTTGAAGGTGAACAGTTCAAAACGGGTAAGGATTTGACATAACATCCCTCCATATAATATCTCATACAATAAGATACAATAAGACACAGTAAGTTTCAAACACAGTAAGTTTACTGAAATTGTTTATTGAAGAAGTCTTGTTTATTACGCAGCTTGCTCTTTACCCACCAAAAATTTATTTTTAGGTACCTATAACAAATGAGTTACTTGTTTCCATGGTTATGCTAATTCATGTTTCTGGATATGCAGTAGAGAAGGTTTTTGGTATTGTAGGTGGGTCTTTTTTTTTTTTTTTTTCCTTCATTTTTTAACTGTAAGGTTTCCTTGACAAAATCTCTTCCTAAAATAAGGTTTCTTTTTTAATTCTGTTAAATAGAGAGACATTCAAGAGTCCTATCTAGAGCATATTAGATTTAGTTGTAGAGTTTTGCTGTTACCCAAATGTATTATATACCTCATTGTCTTCTACAAATGGGAATGTCTCTGCCAAAAGCTGCATGCAGTCAGTGAAGTACAAAACATCTAGTTTGGGAATGTGAGCAACCTGGATAAGAAGGAAAGACATAAAGAAAAAAGAATGTTAAATGTATCACTGCTAAGCTAGAAGTTCCTGACTGATGCTCATAAAATGCTCACAATGCAGTGAATCAATTAATTCTCTTACTCCAAAAATCAGTTTGGTGTAGTAGTTCACAGCACAGAATCAAACCATATTACTTGGGTCCAAATCCCAGCATCCCCAATTTCCTGAGTAATCTGGGCATGTTATTTAAGCTATTTGAGTTTCAAGTGTTCAGTGGATAAAATGGGAAAAACTACCTAATTAATATAGTTGTTTATTACAGTAATTAAATCAGTTAATAATATGCCAAATGCCTGGAGTATTGTGCCGTAAGTAACCCCTATCACTAGTTCTACTGTAGCTGCTGGTTGATCCTTACATGATGTTTCTATAACTTACAGAACTCTTACATAAATTATGTCCTCCTAATTCACACAGTAACTGTGAGGTAAGCAGGCCCAGGGACTGAAATGATTAAGGAGGCTGAGGTTGGAAAGGTGACTTGATATAGTAAGAGGCAAAGCTGGAATTCAAATCCAGATATTTTGACTCCTAAGTCAATGTTCTTTCCTTAAATCCTGTCATACACCTTTCCCAGAACTGAGTACTCTGTACCTGAGAGTAGTTGGCAGATCCACTGGTTTCCGAATGGATGTGTTGGGCTGGCTGAATTGGGAGGATTTCACCTGTCTCTTCATCTAGTTGTAGCTGAGCGAAAAAGGCTTTCTCTTGCTCCTTTTGGAGTTGTTCTTGTCTTTCCTTTTCAAGTTTTTTCTGTTTTTCCAGCTCATACTCCTTGCGCCGCTGACTGAAGTCAAATACTTCACGACTTACCCCAAGATCTATATCTTGCCTCCAAAGTATGTCAATCAAATCCATTTCCTATGTTGAAAACACAAAAAAAGAGAGAGCAACCATGGTTAAGATGGTTTCTAGGTGGCAAATACCAAATAAATTAATTCACACTATGCCATTGTTGATGGGGGAGGGAATTATAAACAAAATCTAAATGAATACACAGATCCAGTGTTCTAGGAGGACACAATCCCACTCAATGAATCTATTCATTATTAAAAAAAAAATACAAACATACAACCATCCATCCAATCACTTGCTACTTGGATTATTAATGATTGGGTGATGGTAGAGGTCACTAAAGAGCAAAGTAACAAGTGTTGCACATTAAAGTGTTTGAATTGAAAGAAATCTCATACTTGTTTATATATTTAATGGCATACAAAAATTAAAGCGAGCACTACAAGCCACTGGTTTATTGTGAGAAACAGCGTTTAAAAACATGACTGAATATACAGACATTTTCTAAACTTCCTCATCAAGTTTACCTAGTTTACAGCAGGAAAAACCCCTAAATTAAATAGTCTATCCAGCTGTTAGGAGGTATCACCATTCTTTTAGTTTTTCCTACACTGCATAGATTATCTCCTCCCATTTCTTGGTACTCTTGTCACTGTGGCTCATTTAATAAAACAAGGCATGAGCAAGTTGGTAAAGAGAAATGCTAGCTAACAGTCATCTTGTGACATATGTGCCATGGGAAGTTTCCTACCAGAAGAGTTGGGGAAGAGGCTCTACTCCCAACATTAGTGCCCACCAGGCTCATTCCTAAGAAATCAAAAAGGACACGATTAAGAAAAGGACCAAAAAAAAAAAAAAAAAAAAGGGAAGGACAGAAGGTATTAACATTTTAAAATATGGGAGAATCTTATAATGAGGGAATGGTTATTTAGATTTCATGAAAGATGAAAATTTTGGACTATGTGACCAGGGTAGTTACCACATCTAGATTTTCCTAAACAAAAAATGTGTCAAAAGCAATTTTTCTGATTTGTAACTTTAATGTTTGAAAGTCTAAACACGGGTAGGAAATTTAAATCACGTTCTGTCTTAGTTATCTAGCGCTGCTGTAAGAAATACCACGAGTGGGTGGCCTTAACAAGTTTCCTCATAGTTAGAAGGCTGGAAGTCCAAATTCAGGGTAGTGGCTCTAAGGAAAGGCTTTTTTGCTCTGTTGTCTCTGGAAGAAGGTCATTGTGTCTCTTCAGCATCTGTTCCTAAGTTCCTTGGTGATCTTCATGGGATGTGGCATCTGTCTTCCCCCATCTGTACTTGCTTTTTTTGTGCCTATGATAACTCCAAAGTGATTGGCTTAAAACACACTCTACAGTGGTTTGGCCTCGTAACACAACAAACCCTATTTCCAAATAGGATTACACCCACAGGTAGAGGGGTTAAGATTAGTAACGCATATTTCAGGGGGACATAATTCAATCCGTAACAGTTTCCATTTAACATATCACCTATATCGAAAATAGTAAGATGAAATGGAGCCTCTGGAAAGATCAAGCTGTAAGAGGAATGGGAGTAGAAGCCTGACGGCCAGTGGATACCAAACCAATCTCACTGCCGTTGAGTTGGATCTGACTCATAGCCACCCCTCCTTGGGTTTCTGAGGCAGTATCACTACGGAAGTAGATTGCCCCATCTTCCTTCCGAGGAGTGGCTGGTGGGTTTGAACCGTCAGCCTTCTGGTTAGCAGTCAAGTGCCTTAGCCAGTGGATACAGTGGGTACAAATGAAAAACTTTGTGTTTTGGTTCCGCTGAGGCTGACAGTGCTGGACTGCCTACTACTTTCAGCCTCCCAATGATAAAAATAACATGGGTGTTGGCTTCAATGAGCAGTCAAACTATTTTTACCCAACAAAGTAGAAGTAGGCCACCCAGCCTGGAGTCAGCACAGTTAGTTGAATGGTAGAGGCTATCTCTACCCTCAACTACAGGTTGGTGTTGGAATCTTAAATTATTTGAGATCCTGCTCATGGGGTTCATCATTACTGTAGCCTTGAAGAATATAATACACCTCTTCACTTACCAACTATCTTGTGACCTAACATATCTCCATTTATTACAGAAGTAAAAATTCTACTATCTATTTTGCACATTAGCAACATACTTTTGGTGGTGACAAACACTGAGGTGTGAGGTGAGATAATGCTGGCTGTGATGGTTAAGGTTATGTGTCAAGTTGTTTGGACCATGATTCTCAGTGGTTTAGCAGTTATGTAATGATGTAGTCATCCTCCATTTTTGCATAACCAATTCTCACATAAGGACCTAGTCTTTGGAACCTAACCATGTCACTAAGTGAGGAGTGGTTTTACATAGTATAAAGCACACACAGTCAGGTACAGTTAAAACAGCACCTGTAGTTCTTTAGAACTGGCTAAGGCATACCAACATGATTGTTTTTAAGCTAACATCTATTAAAGGCTTTCTCTATGCCAGGCACTGTTCTATGTACTTTACATATACAAACTGATCCTGCAACCAACCATGTAAAGATAAAATATTATCCCTATTTTACAGATAAGGGCATTTTTTTTCCTCTGAATTTAGATATAGTAGAATGTCCTACCTAGACTTTTCATCAAACTTGAGCTTTCTGACCAAGCCAAGGAATTGAGTGGTGCTTAATGTAGTCACAACTACCAAGTGTCAGCACTAAAAATTAAAGGGATGCATGACCAGACAACTTCAATCAAATTCTAGTTTCTCACCAGTTGCCACCGAGTCAATTCCGATTCATGGCAGCCTCATGTATGTCAGAGTAGAACTGGGCTGCACAGGATTTTCAATAGCTGATTTCTCGGAAGGAGATCAAGGTGCTTTCGGGTAGACTTGAACCACCAGTGTTTCAGTTAGCAGCCAGGTATGTTAACCATTTGCACCACTCAAGAACTCATTCTCTATATAATAGGCAGTACCTATTCCAATCTCTTTTAAGAACTAGTGCAGAAAATACAGAGTATCAGTAGGAGACACCCAAGTACTTGTCTCTGTACCTCAAAGCCACAGTGTCACAACCCCTCTCACGTCCTGCAGAATTCCTGGGCCTGAGGCTTCTTCCTTGTTAAGAGATCCTGGGGTAAAGATATTTTTGTTAAGAGATCCAGTTGCCTTTTTCATACAAGAATTCAAAGAGCACTGAAGCAATTTATGGTGGGAACAACTCATAAATCTGACTGTTTCAAGTATCCTTAGAATTCAGTCCGTATGAATGGGAAGAAAGTCTCTAATGGAATTTATTCTAAAATAATCCATGGCAATCGTTCTTTATTCCCCCTTTCTCTTCTCACCAGATGATAATGTCTGAGAAGCTCAGATGGTTTAGTCTAATCCATCTTACTGCTATCATGTTGTTTGTTGTTACGTGCCATCGAGTTGGTCCAACTCATAGCGACCTCCTCCTTGGGTTTCCGAGGCAGAAAGCAGATTGCCCAACCTTCCTTCCAAGGAGTGGCTGGTGGGTTTGAACCTCCAGCCTTCTGGTTAGCAGTCAAGTTCCTTAGGCACTATGCTACCAGAGCTCCCATGCTATCATATAGATGTTGATATATTAAGTGAGATGTATATGTGAAAGAAATCTCCCCTATGAATGTCAAGTATGCAAATACTGTTATGCATTCTGATGGCAATGGATCCTATCACTTCCTATGTTGTTGTTGTTATGTGCCGTCCACTCGGACCTGATTCACAGCGACCCCTCCTTGGGTTTCCAAGGCGGTATCACTACGGAAGTAGATTGCCTCATTTTCCTTTTGAGGAGTGGCTGGTGGGTTTGAACCGCCAGCCTTCTGTTAGCAGTCAAGTGCCTTAGACACTATGCTACCAGAGCTCCCACCACTTGCTATAGGTAAGACCAAACTTCAGCTCCATGGATAATAATGAAGTTGTGGACCTAACTGTAGTGGGAGCCTGAGATAATGTTAGGACTATCTAAACCAAACCCAACCCACTGCCACTGAGTCAATTCCGACTCACAGTGACCCTGTAGGACAGAGTAGAATTCCCCTCAGGGTTTACAAAGCTGTAAATCTTTACAGCAGCAGACAGCCACATCTTTCTCCTGGGGAGTGGCAGGGAGTTCAAACCGCTGACCTTTCAGTTAGCAGTTGAGCTGGTTAAACACTGCACCACCAGGGCTCCTTTAAAGCATCTTAATAAGTAGCAAATTACCAACCAAAACTCACTGCCATCAAGTGGATTCCAATTCATAGTCACCCCTGTAGGACAGAGTAGAACTGTCCCATAGGGTTTCCAAGGCTGTAGATCTTTATGGAAGCAGACTGCTTCATCTTTCTCCCATGGAGCGGATGGTAGGGTCAAACAGCCCACCATTTGGTTAGCACCAAGTGCTTTAAAGGATATAATTTCCATGAATGATGTAGTAGTGGCTATGGTGGTGATGGCAGTGGGTACTCCCATATACTTTACATACATTTTCATATATACCTTTATGTACATACACACATACACCCAATTAAACTGCCACTCAAATCCTGCTATGACTACCCTTCAATGCACATCTCCAAACCAATTAGATTTGTTGTTGTTGTTTAACTTTCCCATAACATGATCAGACTAGAACATCCTGATGAATCTTTATCCAAAAAAACAGGAAAAATAAAATAGGAAGCATCATCTACAATCAGCTCCTGAGCATCCCAGTCTTGTTATCTGATGTGAAACAATGCTGGACTTTGGGAGACAGAGTGGCTCCTACTGCCCAAGCAGAATGCCAACTAAAGGTGTTTCAAGTGACAACATCCAGTTGTTCTTAATGTATGCTGGGCAGCTTTCAGTGTGGTCATGTTGTTGTTGTTGTTGTTATGTGCCGTCGAGTTGGACCCAACTGATAGTGACCTCTCCTTGGGTTTCTGAGGCAACATCACTATGGAAGTAGATTGCCCTATCTTCCTTCCAAGGAATGGCTGGTGGGTTTGAACCGCCAGCCTTCTGGTTAGCAGTCAAGTGCCTTAGCCACTGTGGTCATACCAGCACCAAAACAGGTTTGTAAGTGTTCT